CCGCCCCAAGAGCCCCCTCCCAGCCAGGGAGCCGGCGCCCACTGCAAAGCGGCGGGCCCAGGGACTAGGGACTATATATACCCAGGCACACGTGTGTGCCTGTCTGTCTGTGTGCGCGCGCATGTGACACGGCGCAGACGGCTCTGCGCTGCTACCTCCCCCATGTGCACGGCCGCCCCCTGGGGCCCAGGATTGGACGCCCCTTCCCACTGCTCTTGTCCTCCAAGCCTGATGGGACCAGCACGAGTGGGCGGGGGACTTCTGATTCTTGCCAAGCTGACAGTGCCCCCTCCCCCACTCCCATTTCTTCAACCTTCCAGCCGTTTTAACTCTTCATTCTCCTGCTTGTCAGGTTGCCTGACCACCAGGGTTCGGCCTTTACTTCCAGCCTGGACTCCAGTTTCCCTGACAGAGTGGTGGTGGGAATGGAACTCAAGGTCTCTGCCTGCCACTCTGCTGGTTTCCATGGGTTTGGGGTACAGGAGGGCTGGCCCAGGGCTGGGGGGCTATTTTTAGCAGCAGTGGCCTTCGGGTGCAGAGATGAGTAACTAGCTTCTAGGCATGGAGGGAGGAGGCGGTGGCTTTCATGCAGCTTTTGTGCGACTCTGGGGGAGAGCTGGTTCCCCCAAGCTAGAAGAGGGCGACCCCTATGTCCTTAATGTCTCACCTCGGTGCTGAAACACAGAGCTGCTGGTATAGCGGGGCACAGGAGTCTGGCTTGGCCACTAAAACAGCCCCACCACTCTCATTCTAGATGTTTATCCTTGGTCACCCATGGAGCCTTCCCCCAGTAGCAGGTTCTCTCCCCAGACCAGAAGCCAGAATGTCAGGGTCACCCTGTTCTGTGCCCACTCAGCTCTGCCCAGCCTTGAGGACAGAAGAGTGCTGGGCACTTGCACCCTTTCAGATGGGATGGAGGAGGAATGGTGTGCTCCCTTGGCACAACCAATCCCTTAGCAACTGAAATGATAAAAGCAACCTGTTTCCCAGTATAGAGCTCCCCCTCCCCACCACCACCACAATGCCTAGCTCACTCAGCCCCCACCTGAAGTGATACTCAGAATGCTCACCTCTTAGGCTCATTCTGTCCTGGGGGGTTGTTGCTTACATTCATCCACATGATCCCTCCCCCCAAGCCTATACCAGGTGTCCCCTGATTCACCATGACAATGTTAGTGGCAGCACAGCCCACGCCAACCCTTATATGCAGAGACTTAGCAACCATGCCTGGCAACCATGGCAGCAGCTCCAGTGGAGGGGAGGGAGGGAGGTGGGGGAAAGAATGTGTATGGCAATGGCTCCTGAGGAAGAAGGGATAATTTGTCTTTCCTGAGAGGAATAGGTAATAGAAGGCTATGAGGCTCCCAAATTTTGTCCCTTGTCTTTCCCTCTGCTCCATCCTGACTCTGAGACTGGCTGGCTGGGTTTTTTGGGGGAATGGGAAGAGCAAGAGATCCCAATTTGTTTTCCACTAAAGTATCTGCAGTCCTTTGGATACAGACCCTTCCTTTTAAGGGGATGGGGCCAGAAGGGTTGTTGTGGGGCAGAGACTTAGTGGGAACCAAGGTCTCCTGCTCCTTAACATGGGCCTTTAGAGAGAACCCAAACACCCCTATCCCATCCATTTTATCCCCCCTGAATCCATGTACCTACCAGCTGCGGATGACTCTTGGCTTGAAGGCGCTTCCTTCCACCCCAGGTCCCACCAAGATTCCTAAGGCTTTTTAAAGTCCTTGCCTCCTCCCTAGATGAACCCTCCTTCGTGATGGAATGTGACATACAGACATCTGTCCTTTCCACCATGCACCCACCCACACACAAACATACCCCAATTCTAATTACTTGGAAGCCTCCCTCCCCCAAGTTTGGGAATGTGCTGTGAGGCGTGTACAGAGGTGAATGCAGAAGCAGAGGACTTCTTCATACCCGTGATGCAGCACTGAAAGTTGAGCTCTGACAAGTGCCTTGATGCTCTCCCCTGTGTTCCATCAGGTAGCTAGGTTTGGGGAAACCAGCATGGTAGGGCTGAGGGTTCATCAGAGGGCTCAGTTAGGCATAGTGAGGGTAGGGGCAAGAAGTTACTCTGAAAATGCTTCTGGTCTTAGATGGGAAATTGTATCATACCTGCACAGCAGAGGTTAGATGATACCCAGAATTTGGCTCATACCCAATTAGCATTCCTTATAGTGTTTAGTGCTGCCTGCTGTACTGGTCCACAGTTTCAGCACAGGGAAAGGGTCTGATGGGGTGACCATAGTCCTGTTGCTCCCCTTCCTCCATTCTCCAGCTCATTCTCACCTTGGAAGAAAGGCGAAGGATTTGCAGGTTCAAAGGTAGTAATGGCTCAGCAGAATTCAAACACAGCCCATCTTCCCTCACTAGGAAAAGTTGATGGTGGTGGCAGGTCTCTCTGCCTAAAGGAGACCCCTTTCTTTCTACTCTGTGGTGACCTAACATTGTCATGGGCTTTTCCTTGGGTCCCAGCTATGGTCCAGGCAAAGAGGAAAGTGAGATAATAAGGGGGGCTGCAGGGAATAGAGCAAGGAATAGTTAATAAAGAAGAACTAGAGAGGCAGGAAGTCTAGTGTAGTGGTGAACAGCATGAACTCTGGAGCCAGACTGTTAGGAATCAAATCGTAGCTTTACTTTTTACTAGCTGTGTGACTTTGGGCAAGTTACTTAAACTTTCTGTGCCTCAGTTTTTTTTAAATCTATAAATAGTACCTACTATTGTTCTGAGGACTAAAATTATGTAAAGCTAAGCCCTGAGAATGTTGCCTGGCACACAGTTTTATATATATATCTACACACACACACACACACACACACACATATACGTATGTGTTATTATTGTTATTAATGATGAGCTGAAGAAGCCATATGAAGGAGGAAGATTGGAGCAGTAGTGCCTATCAACTGCAAAAATCAAACATTGCAATACCATGAAAAGGTTCCTGTCATTTTAATTAGGTTTGCCATGAAAAGAAATAACTTCGGCTCACGACTTCATCCTCCACTTAACCCCCATCTACCTTCACATAAAAGCAGCACAGGAACCCAACGGCCCTCCTCCCCACGATCCTCTCCACTCCCACTATGGGAATAAATGTCACTAACTGGACTCAGCCTGCCCCATACAGCATGAAACGGAGTAAGTAAAAACATCTTTATGAAGACTGTTGCTGTGCTATTATCTTAGGGTGAAGTAAGGGGCAGGGATAGAAGCAAAGGCAGGGTGAGGTCTAGGGATCTCTTAGAGATCAGAATCTGCCTGAGGGAAGGCACAGAGCCCATGGCTGACCCAGAAAGGGAGGTATATCTAAGAGGGCAGGGGCTGAGATGGGCTGGTCTACAATTTTCTCGAGTGTATGTGTGAGGGTAAGGGCTGCTAAAAATCTATTCTCCTTCCTCCTCCAACTCCCTTGGCCCCAAGGTAAAAGGGTAGGGGGCTCCTGAGCAAGGAACAGAGTCACAGTTCTCCCAAGGTTTCATCTGTGATCTCCAGAGCTGCTGGCAGGCAGTGAGTGGGGCATATCCCCTAGTGCTGCCTGATCCCTTCCCCCAGCTCAGGGCTTCTTCTCTCCACCTGTGAGCACCAGGGCCTGCAGGATGTCAGACAGAGATACAATTCCCTTGACCACATCAGTCTCATCCACCACCACAAGTCGGTGAACCTGGCACAGAGCAACAAGGAAGAAAGGGGGTGTTTAGTGCCAGCTCCATTAGGGTGGGCCCCTCACCCCCTACCCAGCTTGCCAAATCCTACTCTGAAGGCTTAGGTCTCTTGTCACCTGCTCCCCCCATCCCGCTCCTTTATGGTCTCTGCCCTCCCTACCTCTGCTTCCACCAGCCTATTGATGATGGTCTCCAGAGTCTCATGTAGGTAGCACTTGAGGACACCTTCAAAGTAGTGTGATCGATGTTGCAGGGCTTTGGTCACAGACACATCTAGGTTGTTATAGGTCTTTTCTGCTGCCAGATTCTGGGGAGAGAGGAAGGAGCTTATGGGGAAGGCAGCCAATCCCCAAACCTCAGACCACCCAATCTTACCAGAGGGACTTAGGGCAGCTGTCAGTTATGCCCCCAAGTCACTCCAGTTTATCAACTGCTTTTCAAACAGGATTTGAAAGCTTCTCCCTTCTCCCTCCGTACATTCAGTACCCCATCTCCTCCCCCTCCCCTTTTCCCTACCTCCCAGCCCCTCCATAATCACTCACGATAACATCAAACTTGGAGTAGATGTCCACCACACGCCCTAGGGGGACAGAGGCAGCTCAGTAAGGAGGATCTGGCATCCAAGGCTCCCCCGCCTATAAAATCACTCTCCTGGCTGAGGTGAGCAGGGAGCAGATTTCCCCTGAGCCACCCTGACTTCCCAGGAGCCCTCCCTCCTTCTGCCCAATTTCTCACCCTTCTCATCCACCACTGGCAGGGCAGAAACTCGGTGCTGTACAAAGATGCCCAGAGCCACATAGATGGGGGTGGTAGTACGGACCATGGCAATGTTGGCATAGGTGCCAATCTGAAGCTCTTCCAGAGACTTAGACATGAACTCTGGCTTGGGGAACTCAGTGATCTGAGGAAAGAACCATCAGCTTGATGTTTAAGGCCACCAAACCACCCTCAGAGACCCTTCTACCCCAGTATGTAAGAAGTAAAAACGGGGCTGAGAAGCACTTACAAACAATTTGAGAAACTTGAGGATTCGCTTATGGGTGAGGATGTACAAGGTGTTGCCTGATTCTGGGTCAATAACCGGCAGCCTGTGGATCTTGTTTCGAATTAATGAAGAGACAGCATCAAACAAGCTGCGGAAGGTGGGAGATCATGGTCAGCTCCATGTACTCCATAGTACTGGGGCTGAGGGTGGTTAATGTCTCCTTAGAGTACGTTTATAAACAGGGAAAACTGGTGTTTAGGGTGTAGAGGCAGTATTTAGACCAGATCTAAGGAGTGTGTGAGAGAGAGAGAGCATGAGTGTGAGTGTGTGTGTGTGTGTGTGTGTGTGTGTGTGT